TCGTTCTCACCATGTGTATCAGGATACAACAACCACCAGGTCGTACCTTTGGACTCCTACCAACAAAGGAGTTTTGTTATTATCTAACAGTAGCCTCTCTAGGGGACCGATCCCATTGACCACCGCAAAGCAAGCCACGTCGATGATTTCTATGATTTCTATTATCCAGATTTCTTTACCCTTGGACATGAGAAGAACATATGGTTTATAATTCCACAATCAATGAATCATATGGGGAATGGCTCCAACTCTAGATATGGTGATTAACCAGGACACCATAGCAAGGAACCGCCCCATATAGTGATCCACAACAATGAATTTCCACCTTTGTCGGTGTCCTTAAGTCCCACAGTGCCCCCCAGACCGCATTAAGCATAGATGAATCATTTGGACTCGTGATTCTAAGCTTCCGACAGTGCTGATGATCCCACTCTAGGTAATATGCTGATTTAACTGTGTAGATCCCATTCTTGTTATAATGTCATGAGACAAAGTCTTCCATCATCCCTATCGCTAGAAGTATTTTGAGGATTCTTTCGGCATCCGCCGGCCAAAAGTGCTCTCTCACTAGTGCTTCATCCCACAAACGAGCTTCATGGTCAATTAGTTCAGCTACTTTTGTGAGCACAATGTTGCCTCTCCTAGTCATGATCCTTCTACTGGGACTGCTTGGCATCCAGATGTTGTTCCCATCTCCTACACGCCAGATGTTTACTCATCTGTCCTACTTTAAAAAGACTCGACCGCTCATCCTTCATCCAACTTTACGTACACCCCCCTCTTTGTTTTAATTTTTTTTCTCCCATCGGATTCCCATGAAACCATCTCAGCTACACCGCATCTTATTTACCTACTAAATAGAAATTATATTTTGTTGGTAGCCACTAAATGTTTACCAAAAAACATATTATTTTACACAATCACATTAATTATATGGGTAGGTAAGGGCCCGTTCTGAAGCTCGCTGGCTTCCAAAGCTAGCTAACTTCTGCAGGGAGCCAGCGTAGCCAGCTTCCCACGGGAGCCAGGTGCGTTCGGTGGTAGAGGAGAGGAATTGTGCGAGACGATGTGGTCGGGCCCACCAGGCTGGTCTTTCAGCGAAGAGGAAAACGTTTCGACCAGTACTTCGGGGTGGCATTGGATGTAATTTTGAGGAACTTCTACTTTTGCCTTTAGCGAAGCTGGTCTTCCGTCGCTCCTCAAAGGTGCACTGCATGATACTTTTCTCCGCGGAGTGGGCTTCTTGGAGCAGGAGTGTTCGGCTGGCTTCTCGCAGGGATTTTAGGAAGCTGGCTCGTGGAGCAATTCTGAACGGGCCCTAAATTAAGGGATGATGCACTAGAATATCGCATTAAAACGCACATGCAATTATCTAGTTTTTTACTTCAAAATAATCTAACTCATGTCTTAAGGTTTTCCTTTCATATGATTCCCTCACACCCCTCTCCCACATAAGTTTGCCCTCGACCCCTCACCTGGTTTTACACCTCTATACCCACACCCGGTTTTAAATTTCCTAAAGGAGCAATTATGGTAACGGATCCTTGGTAAGCCAATTAATAATTTGGATCAATCGCTACGCCGCCGCTTAGATACGATTGCCTTTTCCGCCCCCAAACCGTATGGCCCTCTTCGTTTAACTGATATCACCTCCCGAACCTCATCTCTAGGGTTTTGGCACACCTAACCCTGTTTAGCTCCCTGCCCCATGCATACGGCGCTGCTAGCAACAGGTGGGCCCTGGGGTATCATCTACTAGTTTCTTAGTACCGGAGAGGGGTATGTCAAAGTGAAATATCTCTTGAAAATGGATACAAGACAACAAGTTGGAAATGGGGAGAGGACTACCGTTCAAGAAGAACCTATGGTGGGGGAATGATACTTGCTACAAGATTCCCCATCATTCAATAAATCTGGTGATCCTAAGATCAAGGTATGTGAAGCTTCTAGGTCAGGGGACTTACATTTAATGTTTGGGAGGAACTTTGGGGCTGAAGAATGCCTGGTGTGGGACGAACTAATATATGAGTCACAAAACTTCTCTTTGGGGAGGATGAGCTGAGCTGAACGACTCTGGCCAGTCCACCCCTAGCTCGGATTATAGGAAGTTAATTGACCAAGGGGAGTGGAAATAGCAAGAAGAGTTTCTTCAGCGTGAAGTTGCCTAATGAAATCAAGATATTTATCTGGCACACACCCATGAACAGGCTACCTATGGGGGTGTACAATTTTTGGGGTTCGCCCACCCCACGCGACACGGGGGAACCCTAAGCCACGCCGCCACCGCTCGAAGACCCCGCTCTCCCGGGGACGTCGGCGAAGCCTGCACGTGACCAGGGAAGGTGGCGGTGGGGCACTCTTGCCTCCCCGAGGCGTCACAGCGTGGGTGCCTTCGTCGCAGGATGAGCTCCATTCTGCGAGACAACTTCTTCCAGCGCTCCTCCTAGTCGGCTGCAGTGCCATCTCTAGCCCTCCCATCCGCAGTGGAGCTTCCCTCCTCCTAGCTACGTGCGTGATTTTGGGCGGCGGTCCTGGCCTTGGGGGCCATGGCAGAGTGCTCCCACATGCGTCGGCATGTCTTGTCGCTCATCAGTCGGGCGATGGCCGGTATTGTGCGCCCTGGCCGCTGCTTCGGTGAGAAGGCCGCCAGTCCATGAGATGACGCTACAGGTGGGTCCGATATGGGCCTGCAGCCATTATGCTAGGTGGTGCGCGGATGTCGCGGTCCCTGGCGGTGTCGTGTCATGCACACGATGGATGTTGTCGCTATTGCTCTGTCTCGATGGGCGTGTGGACCTGCATTCTCCGGCGTCCATGTCTCACCGGCGTTCTGCCCCAATGCTCAGAAAGTTGTGTCCTTTTGGGTTTTCTTGGCTCGTCGGTGTCATCGGTCCAAACCTGCGTCTCTCCAGGTCCTGGCTTGCTGAGGCTTCAGCCACCCTCGCATCCCGTGTGCTAGCTCTCTACACCTCGTCGTCGCCTCTCCGACCACGACTGCCACCCCCTGCTTCGCCTCTCCTCTGCCAGGTCCAATGCTTGTGCATCCGAAGGCGCTGGTTGCCACCCCTCGGCAGGTGTAGCTGCCCTTACGATGGTGGTGGCCCCACCTTAAGACCTGTCCCGTCAATGGATCATGTCCAACGGCTTTGGCGTACCAATTTTGTTGCCTTGCTATCTTTGCTCACACCTTGGCCCCCTCCCCAAAATGCTGCAGCTACGGTCCGCAGCCTGATTGGGCAAAGCAAAAACCAGAATCAGATCTGATAAAGAAAAAACAGAAAAACGAAAAACCGGTGGAAACCCAGAGTCATGGCTAAGAGTCGTACGGCTAGTAATCTAGGTGCCAGTGAATTTGAAAACAAATAGATGGGAATTATCCCACCCGTTGATTTAATATATGATAGACTTTTTCTTTGAATAATGTGTATAATTATATTTTTTAAGTTTTATTTTACATCAACAATATTCATAATATGAAATCATATACTCTTGGGAAGGTAGTTTTTTATGAAAAAAAAATACACTTTCTCCTAGAAACCAAGTTTTATTTACATCTATGCCAGCGAATATCCAAGTCTGCACCCGAGCTCATCTGATCTCCGTGAAAAGTAAAACAAAAAAAGATTAGATTTTTTTTTGGCATGGAAGATGTTCGAGTGCGTGACTTTTGTGCCAAATTTTGTGGTCATCGCACACTCGAACAACTTCCATTCGAAAATAAAGTATCATTTTTTATTTTACTGTTCAACCAAGAGAGTAGATGAGCTCGGCAGCTATTCCGCCGCTTTTCCTACACCTGTTGCTTCTTCTGCGACTCCATGTATAAATTACATTTCTTTACCTTTTACATCAGCAATATTCAGATTATAAATTCACATATTTTATTAAAATGTTCTAACTTCTCCTAAAAAAACTTGACGGCAAAAGAATTTGTAGTCTAAGTTTTACACTATAGTATCGTCATTTCTTTTTTTCGAGGAGATCTAAGGTAGGCAGGCCCGCGGGCCGGAAGGATTGACACAGCCATCACGCATGGGCTAGGCAAGAAACTCTGCGCGATTTTGGGCGGCGGTCCTGGCCTTGGGGGCCATGTCAGAGTTCTCCCGCATGCGTCGGCGCGTCTTGTTGCCCATCCGTCGGGCGATGGCCAGTATTTGTGTGCCCTGGCCGCTGCTTCCATGAGCCGGCGGCTAGTCCACGGGATGGTGCTACAGGTGGATCCGATATGGGCCTGCAACCATTATGCTAGGTGGTGGCGCGGATGTCGCGGTCTCCGGCGGCGTCGTGTCGTGCACATGGTGGATGTTGTCGCCGTTGCTCCGTCCCCATGGGCGTGGACCTGCGTTCTCCGACGTTCATGTCTCACCGGCGTTCTACCGTAGCGGCTTCAGCCCAAATGCTTAAAAAGCTGTGTCCTTTCCGGTTTTCTTGGCTCGTTGGCATCTTGGCGGCTCCGGCATCATCGGTCCAGACCTGCATCTCTCCAGGTCCTGTCTTGCTGAGGCTGCGGCCGCCCTCGCATCCCGTGTGCTAGCTCTCTACACCTCGTCGTCGCCTCTCCGACCACGACTGCCACCCCCCGCTAGCTCTCCGACCACAACTTCAGGGGGTGGCTGTCCATCAAAAAGTATCGTCGTTTCTTTTTTTCAAGGAGTTCTTAGCAGGACAGCTTGTTAAGGTAGGAGGGCCCGCGGGCCGGAAGCATTGACAAGCCATCACGCATGGGCCACGCAAGAAGCCCTGCGCGGCCCAGATACAGACAAGTGTTCGTCTGTCGTCGAGGCGCCGCATTTTTCAGAGCAGAGCAGAGAGTGAGTCGGAGCGGCCGCGTTCGCGGCGGCGGCGGCGGAATACGGCGGCTCCCGGAGTAAGAGCGTGGTCAAGGATTCGGCTTCGACTGACGTTTAGGCTTCTCGCCCGTCTCTATCCCTTCTCCATCTCGTCCTTGGACCGCCGACCGTCCTAATTCTGGATCCAAGAAAACCAGGTGGAGGGGAAGAATGCCGTCGACGGAGTCTCTGGAATCCAGGGCAACCCGTCCGCTCCGCCACGGAAGCACCGCAGCCACGCCGGGGCCGGGGCTGGGGGTGACGACCCGGTCGAGGGCGCGCGCGCAGCAGGAATCCCAATCCCAATATGCCGCAAGGGCCAAGCTCCGCGAGGCGGATGGGTGCAAGAAGAGGGCCAAGCTTGATGGGACCAGCCAGCCGGAGAGCTCCAAGAAAGGGAAACCGTCCTCGACTACAGCCAAGATAGTCAAAGTTCGGGTTGGGGGGACGAGGATGATGATGGCTCTTCCTCTGCGTTCAGCTCTCCAATTCGCGTGCCCGTGCCTGAAGATTACATGCCTTCAAACGGCGACAGTGAGATGGCCAAGGCGAATCGGGCTGCGAATCAGGCCTTCGGACGGAAAATATGTTTGTGCCACTCCATCTCTCGTCATATTTCCAAGTTTCTCTTCTCTGCTCATCACATACCATCTAATCTAACCAACAAAACAGAGTATTTCAGGTCCAAATATCTGAATATACATCTCCAAATTGTAGTGCAATGCTGCATAAATCCTTCTTTTTTATTGATACTGGTGTTTACTTTGCGTGTGTTGGTCTTCTTGTAGTTCGGCAGATGGAGTTGCCCACGCTTTTTGAAGATATGCCTCCAAGTTGTCTGGTTGATGATCCAACGCTTCTTCACATCCGTGAACCTGCAAGGAAGACGGTGCTTCGTGCTGCTCAATTCGTTGTTGGGGTTTCATCCTCGATAGGTACTGTAACACCATCCGGTTTCTTTTATTTTGCTACTATATATATCCATGGATTTGCAGATGGTGAGCCGCTAGCGCGGTGCTCTGGTTTCTGGATTGATTTTGATAATGAGAACAAAACCGGTACTGTTGTGACGACTGCACTTGTGATTCGCACAAGGCACACATCCAAAGGTGCTTGGCATTGCAAAGATCAGTATGCTTGTGATGCTAAGGTGAGCTGATAGGCAAATGCATTTTCTATTCATCTGCCTCGCCAGTGTTCTGGTTGACTTTGCATCTAGTCTAACCTAACTTTGTTCCATCTTAAGTTATATCAAATAACTCTCTACTATGGTTTCATGTATCATCGCTAGTTGCAATTTACACGTATTATTATGTTTACTTGTCTAGAAACTTTTTTTTACAAGTTCTGTCCAATGGATTGTTATGGTGTGCAGATGGTCTCTTTAGTAATCATTCTCTTACAAATGTCTTTTTAGGTTTATGTTGACTTGCGGGGTTACAAGGGTTACATCATGGCAGAGGGCCGCCTGCTCTACTACCAGAAGCACTATAATCTTGCTTTCTTCAGGGTGAGAGTGGATTCATCTGTTCAGTTACCCTCTTTTAGTGATAAAGTGAAAAGTGCTCAAGACATTTTTGAGCTTGGAAGAGATGACTGTTTCAATCTACTCATAAATCATGGTAGAGTGGAATATTCAAATCCATCCAGGGATGAGCGGTATCACCACATGTACATTCAAGGTCCACAACGAGATTGTATGGTAAACATATACTCCACTCGAGTTGTATCTGGTGTATTTTTAATGCTTTATTTGAATGTAACTTCTAATATTATCAATTCAAATGTTGTAGCATGATCTAGGAGGTCCTGTTATTGACTTAGATGGGAAGGTTGTGGGAATGATCGGCAGTTGTTCAGGAGGGTCTTTTATACCTTCTTCAGTTTTACTCAAGTGCTTTCATCTATAGAGGAACTTCCAATATGTTTCCTTTTCAGCTCTATTCTACTCTCGAGATGATTTATTCCTTTGCTTATTTCTTATTCTAAGAAGAAGAATAAGTTCGGAAAACTGCATTTGGAGTTGTCTGTTTTATCTCTTTTGCTTCTATTTTCCCATTCATTTTCTCTCTTCATGTTTTACAATTGCTATATTTGAACCCATAAATATTTATGTAGTAAAATCATGTATAAGTAAGGCTAGGGACATAACCTTGATGAGTCCTAGGTTGTCATATTATATGTTTACAATGAGTATGTTTGAATAGATTTCTGTTAAATAACACATATAGCAAATATCATGTACAAGTGAGGCTAGGGGTTGAATCTTGATGAGGCGTAAGTGGAAAGAATCAAAGCAGAACCACACCAACCAAGATTGTGAATGATTCATCATGAAATCTTTATGGAGGAAATGGGTGGTTAACACTCTATTGGCTTTCATGTGTTATCGTTACTCCTTTTATGTCTCATTATGTTTTGTTTTGGACATTTATATGGACTTCAAGGTTACACTTTGATAAAAAAAACGAGTATTTATTATGCAAGTATATTTTAAGGTGATCTCATTTTTCTCGATATTGATGCCTAGATCTTAAAATGCTGAGTGGCACGCATTCCAGAAGGCCACACACATAAAATTAGGTGGAAAGCCATGTTTCCTCTTAATTTCGATATCCATGTACCGCAATCATATTTCTAGGTATGTGGTGTATCTACTCTAAGATGTAAAGGACAAAGGTTTTCTGATAACTTTATTGGTGTTGATTCTAACAAAATATGTTTCTTATTTTTATATAAGGTCATGGCATGTCCTCTTTGAGCTTCTTAGAATTCTATTTATGTCAAATTATTTTCTCTAGTGTGGTATTGGCTATTTATAAACATGTCGGGTAGATGGTTTTATCCAGAATTGTTCATTTAGAAAGCCTTATCTGCTTATGGTTACGTAATTGAAATGTATTTGATTTTTTTTTCTACAGGCACATACCTCGACCCCACCTTAGATTGAAATTTAATGCCATCAGCCTTTTAAACCCTGCTCATGTTGAGCATATATTGGTCGAGTGTGAGATTGATGAAGGTCTTATTGTTACGGAGGTAGATATTGTTTGTTGTTGCTTTCGTAAGTCTGCTTGTTTGGTCGTTCATACTAAGGATTAGTTATTGCAATTCAACCTCAGGTGTGTGAGGACTCTCCTGCCGAAAAATGTGGAATTCGAAACGGGGATGTTATTGAATGTCTCAATGGAAAACGCGTTTCTACTACTGTGGAGGTTAGTGCATTATATGTTTATTATTGTTAGGTTTAAGTAGAATGAATAGATATATGATATTTACATGACATTTGCATTCTACTATCATTGTTTCAGAATACATGTCTTTAGCCTCTCCATTTTTATTCAAAATATTTTTCCCTCCAATTCCTATTCAGTTTAAGCCACTTTGTTCCTATATTGCCCTTCATTGATTTCACCATGAAAAGGACTAATTAACTCTTGTTGATGCTTGCGCTTCCCAATTAACACTTTTTGTGCTTGAGTGCCTTGCTTTGCGATGCAAAAGAGGTAACTTAGTGTCTTTGTTTGGAAAAAATCAAGACTGCACGAAAACTTACCGGACGGAGCAAACGCACGCTGTAATCCATAACACCCAATGCTGCTCAAAGCCCATCTTATTCAGAACTACCTCCAAGAACAAAAATCAACTTTCATATGCCTTGTCAGATCAAACTTTTAAGTAGAGCAGTTGTCATCAGGTTTCTTGCACTGTTGGATTGGATAACATGAAAGCACTTAGTCAATGGACATGATGGCATTATCCAAATCATCCGCCCGTGTACGAAGCACTAAGCTTTAGAGTTAAGCTTCAAGAGAATCATGCAATGGATTAAGCATTCGGCCACAACTTTGTAAATCACATCACATGGTTAATAGGTCTGAAATCTGTGAGTTCTTTCTGGTTAATTACCTTTTAAGAAAGGCAATAACTGTGTTGTCTAACCCAGCCAGCATAATCCCTGATCTGAAGAATTCCTTGGCTGCATTGATAACATTTTCTCTCAGTGTGTCTCACTTCCTTTGGAAAATCTCGCTGGAAGGACTGGGTGTCTTGACGGGACCTATTTCAAACAGAGCATCATGTATTTCGCCATCACCCAATTCTCTTTACAAGGACGTGTTCATATACTCCTTGACTTTGTGCTCAAAGAGTGCTAGCAGCTGATTGCGTTTCACATCAGGGTCTTTGGTGTACATCACCTTGAAGAAATCTGAGACCAGCTGTTCAGATGTTTCTGCATTGGCCACCCAATTCCCATTTGCATCTTTCAGTTTCTTGATCCTATCTCTCTTCATGGAGTTACTTGGTCTCTGGTTTCCTTCTCTCAGACACTGTCGTCAACATCACCTGAAACTTTCTTGATACCGTTTGCTGGAAATATTGACATTTCACTCACAATTAATTTTTATGCCAGCTCACACTTAATCTTGTGCGCAACTCTAAAATGTCATCTATTTTCAATTGTTGGGAGTATTACTTTATGCTATTCTTCTCTTTAAATTATTGCTGCTGTTTATCAGTTGGAAAACATGTTGCTGAGCATAATGGAGAACATTGGAGATAACATTAATTCTGATCTGGATTTGGAGGTAAACTTACTATTTTATTTTAATAGTAATTTACTTGATATGTTCATTCGTGCTTTATACGGAACTGTTATTAGCACAATTTTGTCACTAAGAAATATGTCTCGTTGGCTTTACAGATTCAGGTATACTTCACGCGTACAGAACTTCGGAGAATCAAAGTACTAACGGTGAATGTATCTGAAGACGGTGAATATTGTGAACCATATTATGCAACACGTATGCATTTTGTCTCAGCCAAGTCTTATTTAAAGATGACCTATATTGTATGTTCCATGTTTCAAGTACATCTTTGTCATTAACTACTTGAGATAATCCCATTCAACCCGATCATATGCTTTGGTATTATTAAATCTTTGATAGCACAAGCTCCGGATATGCCATGACAACATTATCGGAATTAACGTGATTGGCACTAATGCACTCTGTTCCTCCTCATTTAATATCATCCAGAATCGGCCAGTATATCTGTATGAGCTTTCTAACAGATCTTACATTTACATTGCACAAAGTAATTTACTGAAATTGAGTAAGAGACAGAGGATGTTTTTACCTTTGGGATGAGGACCTACGCTCCTCTATCACCTCTTGCGGCACGAGAACACCATCTAGAAAGCCAAGAACTTCCTTAGTGATGGTGTCACCAATTAGGTACCAGTGCTCTTGGTAAAGCCTACTGTAAAACCATCAATGCCCGCGATCTGTTGGGGCCCATCATAAACAGAACCTTTTTCACCTCATCTGCTGAGAACAGATGTTAGAGTACGTAATGGGCCTAATGGGCCCATTAGTCTTAGGGTTAATTAGAGATAAGGGTCGCTTGCTTAGGGGTCAAGTAAGCCTTGCTTGGGAGTCAAGTAAACCTCTCTATATAAAGAGAGGAGATGTATCAATCTAATCAAGCAAGAATTAAGAAGGAAATCTCTTCCCTCTTGCCCGGCCGTGGGCAAAAAGGCCCCCGGCTGGCCTTCTCACGCCCTCCTTCTAGCAGCACCATAACAACAGAGCACACTGAAAGGCATTCATATCAGCCGTGAATTTTCTCGGGATGTACTGGATCACCAACTATGGATGAAGATCAGCTTGGAAAAGGTTACTGTAGAAATAAGTTGCCATAGCTTGCAGATTTTCTTGAGCAGTTGCCAAACTATCATCCTCCTACATCAGAGAAACAATGTGCATAGAAAACTATATTTATATGTGTAGTTGACTTCATTTACATGGATATAAAGACTTGCTTTATTTTTGAACTTTGTAAAACTGTTGCTTCAACTGAGTTTTATTTATTTGTAGCTCCCCGCTGGTAACTTGACGCAGCACTTCACCAAGTGAGCCCAGGCAAGTGACAATTGATTTCTTTGCATTTTTATTGTGGTGTGAAGTATTTGTTTTGTCCTGTGATGTTTGAACAATAAACAGGAAGGAGGTCATCTTTTAAATGGAAAAATAGATGGTTTGTCAAATCCCTATACTCTACCTGTGTCCGTCAAATGCCTAGTCTTTTGGGAGACACTCAAATTATTAGTATTTCTTATATTCCTCTAGATATTCCCTAGATCGCCATTGTATGGACCAAAAGTTAAAACAAGGGTGACATATTTGGCGAAAATGCCCACCTGGTGCAAATTAAAGACCAATTGGATGTGTAGCAGTGTGAAATAGTTATTTTGCTATGACCATATAGGATTTTAAATGTTGTTATGCACAAAAACGCTCTCTAGCTCTCTAGTTTTAAAAATATTTGAGGTGAGATTTTGAAAAACACTTGTTGAATATTTTTGATGGAGTACCATGCAAGAGTACTGTAGTGTAAATTTCCTCCCTTACATTGTGTGCTCTTTTTACAGCAATATAGTGTGTACTTTTTCTTTGACGGGTCAGACGAATTGCAATGGAGCACCAGGAGGGAGAGGAGGAGGTAGCGGTTAATTGGACCTTTGTTTAGCATTTTGTAACAACACTACGAGTAGGGAATCCCCGAGTACTCCACGTGCGATGACGAAGCCTGCAGATACTGTGCAGCATGTCGCTAGTAGAGTTTTCAAGGCAGCAGGTGTATAAGGAAAGGTATTGCACTTGTTGCAACTCTAGAGTAGTAGTAGCCCTCATCATCTTAGCTTAGATGTCCGTCACTCGAGTGAGGAGTGAAGGAGGAGATGACCGGCGGCAGCAACGCTCATTACTAATTGTCCAATCGTCCCGCTGGAATTAACGTAATGTTGATTGATTGTATGTATGCCAAATTATTCATGCCAGACGAGGAAAAACTAGAACTGATGGCAAGTTGATTTCAGTTACCAAGAAAAATGTTTGGAATCGATGGCAACGAATAATGCGTGATCGATCGTATTAGACATGATTTTGTTTCCATTTGTGACTGATATGGAAACTTTTTCCCCTGGCGTCCTGGAGCGGAGAAGCTGCAATACCTATCTATACCTACCTAGTGCAGCATCTCTGCATGCCACTGAAAATTTCAATTGCTCAACATGCAAGTTGATGTTAAAGTTGAAGCGTGTTCAGGGGCTGGGCTTGAGAGCACTCTGTGGTACAGACTTTGACAGATCAGTCACCATCAGGTTGGCGCGTCCAACGTGAAACTATCCAACAAGAAATGCAGAGCGAAACGGAGTGACTTGTTCAAAATGCAGACCAGTGACGCGTCAGCTCTTGTGAGTTGTAGGGAGTAGGGATGGTGAACTGGATGATTTGCATCAGGTTCATCTAAATCTCCAGAACACTAGGGATCATGGCAACTGACTGCAAACCATCATGTAGATAGATGAGAAATCACCAACATGCTATAACCATCCACTTGCAACAACACTACAACAGAACAAATAGGTGAGCTGTGACACCCAGCAACGCCAGTAAGCACTGTGACATCCATGTTCCGTAGTGGATAGGTTTATATTCCATCCATGTGTCACTTAAACCAGGAACTGACACAGGCAACCTGGCGTTGGTTCACATAACACTTCACTTTTGCTGCATGTTGCAGCAAAACAGAACGAGTCAAAAAAGAAATCAGTATCACAAGTTCACTGTATTGAAATACAAAATATTCCATCTTTTGGTTATGACATGAGCATGAAAAAGAAATCAAAGATTACAACGCCTGTAAGCCAACAGGCTATGACCTTCCATCCAAAACAACACTACTACGATCTATGGACTAATAGTACAGAAGAGATTGCAAATGCATAATTTCATGGTTGAGAAAAAAGTCATGCATTGTTGTTATTATTCCACAATGCACCTTCATATTGTCGTTGGCGTAGGTGCAAGACTCCCGGCATTCCCGGCGGTCGCATTACTTGGGCGGGGAGATGACTTGTGAAGTGCAATCAAAATCAGCATCTGCATGCAGAATAAGGATATTATCATAAAAAGCAAAGAGAGAAGAACATATCATAATTAAACTTTGTTGGATGAAAACAAAATATAACAAAGTAGAACAACTTAGGAAAAACATGTTTATATTATTTACTGTTTGGAAATGACATTTCAGAAAAACGGTAGTAGCGCTTATTTCCTGTCATTGTTTTCAGAATTATAACTCCCAAGCTAAACATGTCAAATTTCTTCGATATATAGCCACCAACTAAGTATTCTGGTGGCATGTACCCGCTGCATCATACCATCAGCATCAAACATACGATTAGTGCAATACAATCAAAATTATAGTAACTGGCCTAAACTATGATCATCAACTTACGGTGTTCCTTTGACGTTGATCATCTCCGTTCAACAAGTCCCGATAAACCAAGATCTCCAATCTTTCCATCGTGTTCTTATCCAGCAATACATTAGCAGGTTTTATGTCTAGATGATAAGTAGGTTTGTTTTGCAAAGTATGAAGGTGATTTAAACCCTTGGAAGTGCCTTAGTTGATTTGGTAACATGTGGGCCAGTCAAGATTACAAGGTTTATCTAGAAATGGAAAATGAGAAACATATAAAGCTATTGAATCATGTATATTAGTATATTAGCATGCAAATATGTACCATTGATATGATCCTTAATGTGTTTATCAAGGCTTCTGCCCCTGCATATATCCAAAGCATAGAATCCGCTCCATTATTTTAGCGCAAATTAGTTCCCATTGTAGGGTACATACTTATAACGTGATTCATAGCAGTAACGGAGCAACCGTACAATATTTTGATGATTGACCTTAGTAAGGTTACGGAATTCGTTGTCAAATGCACTTTCATCGAGTCCTTGGAACTGATGATTCTTCTTCACAACGATCTCCTCTCCCTTATACACCCCCTGTCATGTTAACTTGTTATTATGGCCATGGGTTTGTAGTCGGCATTTGATAAGTGCAGAATATAATGTACTAAACTAGGATATACCAATATTTAATTAGGGGGGGGGGGAGATTGACCCCCTTCCTCCATGATAAGGATGTAAGACCAATTTAACAAAAAAAAAATCTTCTAGTAGGAATATGTAAGATTTAAGTGTCCACTGATATGTTGATATACCTTGGCTCATAGAGACACTCTATCCTCCGCTGCTACATTAATAGTCAAACCACTGTATTCTGGCCAATCTGAAAGCCGTGAATTGATCCCGGCTAGTGGTTACATGTGTTGGAACATTGCAGAAAATAAAATTTTTTCCTACGGTTTCACCAAGATCCATCTATGAGTTCATCTAAGCAACAAGTCATGGGAGAGAGATTGCATCTACATACCACTTTGTAGATCGCGAGCGGAAGCGTTCAAAAGAACGGGGTTGAAGTAGTCGTTCTCGTCGTGATCCTATCACCGGAGATCCTAGCGCCGAACGGACGGCACCTCCGCGTTCAACACACGTACGGAGCGGATGACGTCTCCTCCTTCTTGATCCAGCAAGGGGGAAGGAGAGGTTGAGGAAGATGGCTCCAGCAGCAGCACGACGGCGTGATGATGGTGGAGAGGCAGTACTCCGACAGGGCTTCGCCAAGCACTCAACGGAGGAGGAGAGGTGTTGGAGAGGGGAGGGGCTGCGCCTTCAAGTGTGTTGCAGCCCTCCCCTCGCCCCTCTATTTATAGGGGAAGGGAGAAGGGGGGCCGGCCCCTCTAGATGGGATCTAGAGGGGGGACGGCGGCCAAGGGGAGGGGGCTTGCCCCCCAAGCAAGGGGGGCGCCCCCCCTCAGGGTTTCCCCCAACCCTAGGCGCATGGGCCCTAGGGGGGAGTGGTGCCCCAGCCCACTTTGGGCTGGATCCCTTCCTCATACAGCCCATAAGGCCCTCCGGGAGAGGTGGCCCCTCCTGGTGGACCCCCGTAACCCCTCCGGTGGCCCCGGTA